GGGGCTAGCCAGCCAACCTCCTGTGGTCCCTCCCCTGGCCGGCTGGCTCCTCGATAAGCCTCAATCACTGGACAGGCTGAGAGACCCCATCTGTGCACGAATTCATGCACCAGGCCTCTAGTCTATTCAAAAAAAGAGTTCTATGGATGCAGTAAACTTTTTATTTTATTTTTAAATATATTTTTGATTTCAGAGAGGAGAGAGACAGAAAAAAATGAAAGCGAGGACCTGTGTGTGTTTGCTTTGTTTCCTTTTCTTTTGTTGTTAAAGCAAATCTCTGGGGTTGTGGTCTATTTTGATAACAGGATGTCAGGTTTGTGATAAGTACTTGCCTAAAAGAGATGTATAATGTACAAGCCCCTAAAATATTTAGACATTTTTAAATTGCAATTTGCAACCTCCCTATTTCCTACCACTCTCCCCTCAAAAAATTCAGAGAGCTGTATTTAACAGACGCCGTGTTTCATGGTGAATGTTATTGGCTGTGTGGCTGAAAACTGTAATTATTAAATATATTTTTGATTTCAGAGAGGAGAGAGACAGAAACATAAATGAGAGAGAATCACTAATCAGATGCTTCCTGCATACCTCCTCCTGGGGATGGAGCATGCAACCCGGGCATGTACCCTTGAGTGGAATCAAACCTGGGACCTTTCAGTCCATAGGCCGACGCTCTATCCACTGAGCCAAACTTGCTAGGGCTGCAGTTTTTTTTAAAAACTTAAAAAAAATTTTTTTTGTGTGGTGGTGGTAGTGGGAAATACAACTTTTATATAAAATTCCAGCTAACTAGATAACCATCTGAATGAAATGTTGGCTTTTTATTTCTTATTTCAAAATAAATTCCAAAATACACCATATATTTAAATACAAAAAGGAAACAAAATCACAAGAAGAATATAGAAAAAAATTATTTTTTTTATAACACTAAAGTAGAGAAGTTCTTTCAAGGTTATGACACAAAACTTGGAAGGCATTAAAAAGAAACAGGTGAGGAGGATGTTCACTTGATCAGAGGCTAGAGAAGGGGAGAGTCATGGTTACAGCCCACGAGGGATGGGAAGGGCAACCAGGCAAGGGGTGTCAGAGTCAAAGCGGGTGAGTGAGGAAGATGTCGATAGATGGACAGCTTGATATAAAATATCAGATACCAAGAAGGGTGAAAAGAACATCCACGAAGCGTGTGGTCTGGCGCAGGGTGTTGGAGTTCAAAAGGAGAAAAAAGAAGTCTGCACGGACGGCAGGGTGGCCCTGGAATGAAGAGTCAGAGAGAACAGGGAGAAAAGGGTGTCTGTCACACAGCAGCAGGGATGGTAGACCTGGAAGACTGGTTACATACAATACAGGAACTAAGCAAATAAATAAGATAATGGAAGCCAGATATCTTCTGTCAGAGAAGAGAGTTAAAATTAAAGAGAGAAAACTAGAATAAACTCTATGTTGTTAGGCTAGAATTGAAGGTATCAACATAGAACTCATGATTTTTAATAGATATAGAAATGATTATAGATCATTTCTATAAGTGTTTGGGTGTGTATACGTATATATGTTCCCTAGCTCTGTTCACTGAGAGAGAGCAAACCTAGAAGCAGTGACACTCCAATACCAATGAGCGTGAGTAGCATTTGGAGCTTGGCTTCTGAATAGCATTTTCTTCTTCTTTTTTTAAAAAAATATATTTTTATTGATTACAGAGAGGAAGAGAGAGGAAGAGAGAGATATAAACATCGGTGATGAGAGAGAATCATTGATTAGCTGCCTCCTGCATGCTCCCGATTGGGGATCGAGCCCACAACCTGGGCATGTGCCCTTGACGGGAATCAAACCCAGGACCCTTTAGTCCGCAGGCCAATGCTCTATCCTCTAAGCCAAACAGGCTAGGGCTTCTTTTTTAAAAAAATTCTAACCTGAGGATATTTTTCCATTGATTTATTATTTATTTATTTTTTAGAGAGAGTGGAAGAGAGAGGGAAAGACAGAGAGAAATATTGATATGAGAGAAACACATTGATTGGTTGCCTCCTGTATGAGCCCCGACCAGGGACTGGGCCGGGGAGGAGCCTGAAACCCAGGTATGTTCCCTTGACCGAAATCAAACCTGGGACCCTGAGGTCCACAGGCTGACACTCTATCCACTGAGTCAAACCAGATAGGGCTGAATAACATTTTCTATAAAAGAATTAAAAGTTCCTCGGAGAAATGGCAGATTCCAGATTAGGGGAAATATAAGATGAGCCTGAAATACCTTGTGGTAGAAATAAGAAAGTGCTATAAGAATGATGAGGACATGTCAAAAGGACTCAGAAGTCAGCCTGAATGCTCACCCTCTAACAAAATTATGTTACAGCATCAAAATTCATGATAGTAAAGGGATTATAACCCACTGAATGAACAGCAACCCATAAATTCATACTGCTACAAATAAATGAATAAATTGAATAAAGAATGGGATGTTTAGAAAAAACTTTAGAAAGGGGAAAACAGTAACTCTATAGTAGAGATGTCAACCAGATAGTACCTTAATCAAGTGATCAAAATGAATATCATCATTAGTAGGACAAACTGAAATGGTGTGCCACCTGATAGCAGCTATATTCCGCAGCATAACCCAAATCTAATTGTGAGGAAACATCAGACAAACCAAATTTGTTCTAATTTATTTTGAATCATCTTCAAAATTGTCAACGTTATGAAAGTCAAGGAAAGTCTGAAGAACTGTTCCAGACTGAAGGATAGTTAAGAGATATGGCAAATAAATGCAATGTGTGGTTCTGAACTAGATCCTTTTGCTGAAATGCAGCTATTAGGACCAATAGTGAAACTTAAATGGGGGTCTAAAGATTAGAAGACAATAATTTGTCAATGATAACTTTCTGACTTTTATAGCTATAGTATGTTTATTTAGAGTAATATCCTTGTTTTAGGAAATACAGACTAACAATAGGAGGTGACAGGACAACAGGTTGACACTTATTCTGGAAAGAATGGGGGGGGCGGGGAACGAACTCTTCTCTGAGTTTAGATTGTTTTTAAATAATACATTTGAGTAATATATAAAATTCTGCTTGGAAAATTAACACCATGAACAGTTGAAAGAAGCAACACAATTAGGAAAAAAAATTGCAACAAATGTAACACAAATGGGTAATAATTTCCTTAATTATATATGAGTGTTTTACAAATAAATAGGGAAACGATAAATAATTCAATAGAAATTTGGGCCAAGGCAAGGACATGAGCAGATAATTCAGAATTAAGAAACTAGAACATGAGCAGATAATTCAGAATTAAGAAACTAGAAATGAAATGCTAACAGAAATAAAAATGAGATATTTTTCATATAGCAAATTATCAAAGATAAAAAGTTTGGTCACATATTAGTATTATAAAAGGATAATATGAAGGAAAAAGAGTTCTTAATTGCTCTAAGAAGAGCAATTTGGAAATAGCTATTATCACTTAGCAATTCCATTTCTAGGAATTGATTCTGCAGCTATATTCACATATGTGGACAAAGAAGTATGGACCAAGATTTTTATTGCATACTGTTACCAATACTAAAAGGTAACAATCAAATGTTCATCAATAAGGGTTTGTTAAATAAACGATGGTCTAGCAAGCTATACAATAAACTATTATGTGGTAATTACAAGATATAAAGTAGTTTTATATAGACTGATAAGGAACTATCTTTAATATATAGTAAGTTTAAAAACCAAAATATAGTTTTTAGTATGTGTGGTTTAAGGTTATACATACATATTCTTACATGTGTATATATTTACTAAAATATAAACTCCATGTTGTAAGGAGCCACCCACTAGCCAAAGATGGGACAATCTGAGCATCATTAAGAATAAATGGAATGAACTAAAAGAGATATATTTAAATCCGTGAGTTTATAATGATATTTTAAAAAAAAGGTTACTTTCAAAGATGCTACTAAAAACCAACTCATCTTCTGGAAATTGGAAACAGGAAATAATAAAATATTTTACTTCTTTTCTTATATAAACCAAACCATCAAGTAACCAAGTAAGAAATGAGGGGAAGCTTCTCTACAGAAACATTCTAGCAATAAATAAAGAATAAGAAAATTAGGGTGGGAACCAAGATGGCGGCATAGGTTAACGCCGGAGTTTGCAGCCTCGAACAACCATTTCAAAAGTGAAACTAAAAGACGGAAGGGACATCACCCAGACCCACAGGAACGCTGGCTGAGTGGAAGTCCTACAACTAGGAGGAAAGAGTAACG